TACCTGCTGCACCATGTCACTGGCCCTCTTTTGCTTTTCCTAGACCTAATTTGTTCTCAGTTAGGCTTAGACATCTGGTTTGTGCCTTCGTTGTAAATGGAAAAACAACTGTTTTCAGTTGGTCACACATAGTTGGTGGCAGGCACATGTGAAACACATATGAAGGAAGAGCTCAGTATAATTGTCTCTTGTACAATTAAACATACTGCCTGTGGAGTCCTGGAGCCCTACTGACAGCGCTGTTGTCCCATCTGGCGCCTCTCATCTTCTAAGTGGTTATGTGTTCCCCGAGAGACAGTCTGCTCCTCTGTCTGGCCAGATTGTTTCTCTGTGGTTTGAGACTTAAACCCTGTAACTGGTGCTAAGGCCTTTTGGAAATGTAGGATTTCTTAAGGCATCTCTTCTTTTGCCCTTCATATTTGTGAGCCCTTTAACTCCACCAGCAGAGTCAAAAATGAAGTAGGCTAATGTTCTCAACAGCTATTTATCAAACCTTATCTTTGCCATTTATAGCTCTAGCTTACTCCTTCAAGCTTTTTTCCAGAGAGTATGACAAGGCACTTAACTTGAATTTGTTCATTTACTGAGTATCTTATTATTAAAGAATTGTTTGGATAGATCACAAAAAGATAAATACTTTTATTTTCCTTTACCGTGCGGGGATTGAGGGGTTGGTTAACCCAGGGTCTTGAATACACTAAGCAAATGCACTACCACTGAGCCACACTCCCAGCCAATAAATACTTTTTTGATTTAAGAATTTCTGTGATAAGAGGGGTGGGCAAAAGGGAATTAACTGCATATGCATATACTCAACTTAAAAGTGATTCTGGTTAGGTGTCTCAAGACTGTTGTGTGATGTTTATACACTGTGAAAATGTATCTTTGCCAAAGTACCTTCTGATTGGTTTAATAAAAAGCTGAATGGCCAATAGCTAGGCGGGAGAGGATAGGCAGGATTTCCAGGAGGAAAGAAGAAATCTAGGGATGCAAATTTTGCCTTAGACCCTGAAGAAGTTGAACATGGTACAGAACAAAGGTAACTATGGTGCCAGGTGGCAGAATGTAGACTAATAGAGACAGATTGACTTAAGTTATAAAAGCTAGCTAGAAAAATTCTAAGCAAAGGCCAAGCTTTCATAATTAATAAGTCTACAATCATTATTTTTGGACTGGCAGTCCAAAGATAGTCCAACAAGAAAGCTTGCTATACAAGATGTGACGATTCTAAGGTTCATAAAAAGATTATTTTGTTTTGTTTTTCATAAAAAGATTATTAAGAGGAGTGTGAATAGACTTCAGGAGCTTGGTAAAAGTTTTGTGGAACTGACATTTTAAAGCATCATGAAGGATAGGTAGAAGTTTAACTTTTTTTCTTTGCTCTTATTGTAGTAAAATGCTAATAGCAACATCCAACCGGGTGGTGGTGGTGGTGGTGGTGGTGGTGGTGGTGGCGGCTGCGGCGGCGGCGGCGGCAGCAGTGGCAGCAGCACACGCCTTTAATCCCAGCACTTGGGAGTCAGAGGCAGGCGGATCTCTGTGAGTTTGAGGCCAGCCAGGTCTACAGAGTGAGTTCCAGCCAAGGCTAGTAATAGAGCCTACAAGTAGAGTTAGTTTGGTTTGTTTTTCTCTTGTATTCTACAGTCTAATATATTTGTGTTTCAATTTGCTCATCACATACTTATTGAAAACATGCTGCTAGGTAATATTATAGAGACTGGGATACAGCAGAGTCAGAGTTCTGCCATCACAGAGTTCACCTGTCCTTTTTCCTGAGTATGTTTATTTGTTTAAACTGTTTACTAGCAATTTATTTGTTGATATTCACTATTAGTGATTAGGTTATGACTCACCAAATCATTTACATGAACTGTACAATTGCATCTAAATTAGGTCATTTGGAACCTAAGAACCAGAGTTAGCTTTTCCCACTTGCAAACCTTTTTTTTTTTTTTTTTTTTACCTTCCCTGGGTATGTAGGCATATCAAATAAGTATACAAATCAGTTACTGATAATAAATGATAAAAATTGTTTCAAAACAATTATTTGGTATCCATGTAATTTTAGCATTTGCATTAGCAAATTTACATTCCAGTACAGCAGACATGCCTGTTCATATACTTACTGCACTACTGGAGACTGACTTAGCACCTTGGGCTCGCTGGGCACTGCTCCACCACTGAACCACATCCCCAACTTGATTGTTTATTTTCACGTAAGGAATTAATTCCACCTTGCTTGGTTTTTGATACTGCTGACATAGAGTATCTTCAGCGTTGTCCAGAGCTGGTGGATACTTTAATTCTGTAATCATCAATGCTGAGCATGCTGTTTCACATCAGTAGGTAGTACAAAGTGACAGACCATATTTGGGGACATTTGAAAATTTGTGGGGCATTCTGACCTAAACCCAATGAAACTCAAGTTAGCAATTCAAGCAGCAAGTTTTGGAATTGAACATTTTAGCACAGTGCAGTCCAAAGACATGTTGAGGCTTATTTATGCTTCTGTGCTGAGGAAAGGTACTGTAAGTGCATAGAGAGCCTATCCACTGCTGTGGCTCTGGGAAACACCGCCTTAGTTTCCCTAACAAATGGCAGAAATGCTTCCTGTACCTGTTTTGCCATCAGAACCTCGGACATGTTGACCTGGATACCTTTTCAAATTTGCTGGATACCAGTTTGGATAGGAAGGAGGAAAAAAACACAGTAGGATTAAACAAAACATGGCATTAGCTTTAATCTAGTTCTTTACTAGTGACCACCCGAATTTGGGGGTGGGGACAAGAATAGGGTGTTTAAAAAGTAGAATTCACAGAACCATGGCCAGGATGTTCCTTGACAAATCAACCTTTCCCACAACAGAAATAGACATAGAGCTACTCATGCTAGTTAGTTTTCATTGTCAACCTAGAATTTCCTAGGAAGAGGGTTGCAGGAAGGATTGTCTTAGTTGAGGCTGGCCTGTGAGCATGTCTCTGGAAGATTGTTTTTGTTTTTGGTTTTTTATTTATTTTGGACTTTTTTTTTTTTGAGACAGGCTCTCACTTTGTAGCCTTGGTGTCCTAGAACTCACTATGTAAATCAAGCTGGCCTTGAACTCATTGAGATCCACTTCCTCTGCCTCCTGAGTACTCAGCACAACCAGCTGAAAGATTGTTTGGGTAGCCTTATTTGCTGTGAAGCCCTGGGCTATATGAGTAGAAACCAGCTGAATACAAATCATGCCAGCATCCTTCTCTCTGCCCTTGACTATAATATGATATGGCCAACTGTCTCAGGTCCTGCTCCAGTACTTGCCCCTAGTAGTGGACTATAATGTGGAATTGTTAGCCAGAATAAAACCTTTCTTCCCTAAGTTGCTTTTTGTTGGGATGTTTTATCACAGCAACAACAGTAAAACTAAACGGTGCTCCTGAGGAAAGCTGTGAGCCCTGTGTCTAGACAGCTGTTGTATGTCCTGAGGTTCCCATGGATCCCTTTCCTTTTCCTAGGCCCAAGCCATCTTTCCCTCCTCCCTCCCACACTCAGATACTTGACACAGTGACACAATGTGTCGGGCTGTCCTCTTGTCCTGGGATACTTGCAACCCATGGGCCACAGGTCAGACACACTGTGTCCCAGTGTATCAACCTACTTTATCCAGGAGGCCAAATGCACAAAAGTTCCTAGAAAGAGATTAACTGGGGGAGGCATATTGTTGTAGTCATTGTTCCTTCACTGAGATATTGGGAAATGTCTGGAATGAGAGTTGATCCAAGTATTACTGGGAGTGGAATGGGGTACATAGGACAGAAACAGTATTTAATAGTCGTTTGCGAGCCGGGTATTGGTGGCGCACGCCTTTAATCCCAGCACTTGGGAGGCAGAGGCAGGCGGATCTCTGAGTTTGAGGCCAGCTAGGTCTACAAAGTAAATTTCAGGAAAGCCAGGGATACACAGAGAAAGCCTTTTCTCAAAAAACCAAAAACAAACAAAAGATATAATTTTCTATCAGTGGACTGTTGACTGGAACTGTACATGTTGTTTTCAAGGCCCACTTTGTAGTTTAAATTATTTAGAAATTATTTTCAATTATATGTATTTATTTACTTTGGGGAGAAGCAAACATGCCATAATACATACAAGGAAAACTTCTACAATTGTTGTAAGGCCCTAGGATTAAACTCAGATTATGAGTCTGGCAACATGTGCTTTTATCCACTGAGCCATCTCACTGGTCCTACTTCCAACACTTTTTGGGAGGCAGTTTCTCTGGGTAGCTTTGGAGCCCTCCTGGCCCTCACTCTGTAGACCAGGCTGCCCTTTTGAACTCACAGAGATCCACCTGCCTCTGCCTCTCACCCAGCTGGATGCTTCTTTTACAGCATTTTTAGTACAATAAGAGCAAAGAAAAAAGTTAATCTCCCACCACCCAGCCCTACTTAATAGTTGCTTGTTATGAATGTGATTATGAACGTGATCCGGGTCTCCTTTGTCTTCAGTTCTCCCTGCTGTCAAAGGGCATAAAAGGATTCTTTGCATTGTTATCCTGTTTTCCTCCCTCTAATGTTGTCTTAACATAAACTAAGAGTTTAACAAATTAAAGATGTCTTGTGTATTTACATTGCCACATGTTCCTGGTTTTGCATGCTCCTGGCTTAGCTGTCTGACTTGTCCCAAGCATTCAGTTTCATTTTGCTCTATTGCTTTGTCTAAGATGGCATATGGATTAGAACTTGGAGACCAAAACCTTGAAGTTTTAAGTGTCTTTGGGGTCACTGACAGTGGAATTGCTGTGGGTGGCTGTGGGCATTGCTTACAGGCTAAATACAGGCTCTTGAAGAGCACACATGCTGAGAGGTGTTCCATCCCTCTTCCCATGGCAATTTTATTTGTGAGGTGAGGCATTCTGCTCTCGACTCGCTGGTAAAAAATTCTCAGCTCCTATTCAGAGTTGTTTATGTGTCATTACTGGAACCTGTTTTATCATCTGATTTTGTTTCCTTCTATCTTCCCAGGTGGCATTGGCAGGGTGGTCAATGGAGCCTTCATGGTGCTGAAAGGGCATCGGTCCATTGTTAACCAGGTCCGGTTTAACCCCCATACGTACATGATCTGCTCTTCTGGTGTAGAAAAGATTATTAAGGTAAGGCACCTTCTCCTTCTGTACTCTTTAGGGAAATGTTGGTGGTTCATGACTGGAAGAAACTAGAACTATGTGTATAGGGATTTATATCTAAATATATTGAGCATTTATCAAAATTCTCAGTGAGTGCCAAGGATGGTGGTACATTCCTGTAAGCCTGACACATAGAGCTGAGGTTAGGAGAATCACAAGCCCCAAAACAGCTTTGCTACAAAGCCAGACTCTGTCTTGAAGTGGGGAGGTATCAGCGATGTTGACATATTATAAAATATTGGAGGTTAATATTTTAAAAGTAGATAGGGGCCAAGCGGTAGTCATTTAATCCCAGCACTCAGGAGGCAGTGGCAGTGGATCTCTGTAAATTTGAGACAGCCTGGTCTACAGAGTTAGTTCCAGGACAGCCAGGGCTACATAAAGAAACCCTGTCCCAAACCCCTCCTCCCCCAAAGTAGTTGGGACATGTTTACATGTATTTAATACCAACTCTCAGGAGGCAGAGGTCATCAGATCTCTGAGTTTAAGCTAACATAGTCTACACAGTGAATTCAGGCCAGGCAGATTTACACAGTAAGAGCCTGTCTTTGTTGTTGCTGTTTTTGTTTGTTTGTTTGTTTTTAGAGACAGGGTTTCTGTGTGTGCAGTCCTGGCTGTCCAGGAACTCACTTTGTACACCAGAGATCTGCCTGCCTCTGTCTCCCAATTGTTGGGATTAAAGGTGTGCTCCATTATACCTCTATCGTTTGTTTATTTTTTTAAGTGATTTTTTATGACTTCCTTTCAGAACCCTTGTACCATGTTTAGTATTAAATCAATATACTTGGCCGGGCGTTGGTGGCACATGCTTTTAATCCCAGCACTCGGGAGGCAGAGGCAGGCGGATCTCTGAGTTCGAGACTAGCCTGGTCTACAGAGCGAGTTCCAGGACAGGCTCCAAAAAACAATACAGAGACCCTGTCTCAAAAAACCAAAAATAAATAAACTTAATAAAGCTATATTTTCTGTGTTCATTTTTGTCAGAAATGCACATTTGTTTGGATATGGTAGCACACCTGTAATCAAGTATAAATATTTGAAATATAGAGGCAGGAGGATCAGGAGTTCAAGAGTTATGTTTGACCACATAGGGAGGTCAAGGCTAGCCTGAACGAGAGACCCTGTTTTAAGAAAAGGAAAAAGTGGGGGGTAGCTTTTATTTGCTATAATTAAAGACCCCAAGCAGATCAGTATGTAACCATATAAAACATTTCTATATTATAAATATTCCATAAATATCCCTTCATGTGCTTATCAGTAACTGCTAATCAAACCAGCTTATTTTTATGGAAGATCTATATACAGTTTTCAATCTAGATGGCCTTAAACCAAACTTTCAGCCTACTGACCCAACATTCCCTGACTTCCCTTTGGCTTTGAGCTTTATCTCCAGATCTACTGGTCAGCAGGCTTCAAAGCAGGAAGTGTATTCTGCACACTACTCTGTGTGTTGTATTCTAGTGGCTTCTGATCCTGGCTGGTGAGTTCTGCTCTGCAAGCCCATGTGATCAGGACAATCTCTGTCACTTCTGTTACCTAGCATGCCCTGTGTCTAAATTGCTGTCCTGGTTTGGCACGGGTTTAACTGAGTAGTTGTTAAGACTTACAGCTGAGTTGTCTCAGGATATAGTTTTAAAAATAAAACAAAAATCTGCATGTGGTTTTGATTAAAGCAAATTAAATATGAACCCTAACCATGCCATCTGAACAAACTCACCTTAGCTAAGGAGTATTTGTGTGGCTATTACAACGAGAACCAGCCTAACCTGTTTCCACAGAAGGGTAACCTACTGCCGCCACTCACATTCTAGGCGCTAGCAACCCTTTTCCATATCCCAGGAAATAAAGGTCCAGGGAAAAAGGAAATTAACACACACCACCACCACCACCACTTCCACCACCCTCCATCGACACCAGTACTAGGGATTATACCAAGTGCTCTACCACTGAACTCTGCCTGCTCCTAACCTGAAAATGAGAACGTCTTTAGGATCTGTGGTAACTTAACTTCTAAGTAAGCAGAGGTTATGCTTCCCACAATGCTTAAAATTCCTCAGTTTTTTTAATGACAAATGAAACCTGAGAAATTTTTCAGAGGATAGTAAAACTGTATTTGTGATAACTTAGTATTTTTCCTCCTTATTTTAATTGTTTGATGATTTCATACATACATATAATGTACTTTGAGCAAATCCACTCCTTAATCCCTCCCCTAGAATTCACTCCCTCTGCCCACCACCACTATCCCCACCACCACTATCCCCACCACCACTATCCCCACCACCACTATCCCCACCACCACTATCCCCACCACCACTATCCCCACCACCACTATCCCCTCCACCACTATCCCCACCACCACTATCCCCACCACCACTATCCCCTCCACCACTATCCCCTCCACCACTATCCCCACCACCACTATCCCCACCACCACTATCCCCACCACCACTATCCCCACCACCACTATCCCCACCACCACTATCCCCACCACCACTATCCCCTCCACCACTATCCCCTCCACCACTATCCCCTCCACCACTATCCCCTCCACCACTATCCCCTCCACCACTATCCCCACCACCACTATCCCCACCACCACTATCCCCACCACCACTATCCCCACCACCACTATCCCCTCCACCACTATCCCCTCCACCACTATCCCCTCCACCACTATCCCCACCACCACTATCCCCACCACCACTATCCCCACCACCACTATCCCCACCACCACTATCCCCACCACCACTATCCCCTCCACCACTATCCCCACCACCACTATCCCCACCACCACTATCCCCTCCACCACTATCCCCTCCACCACTATCCCCTCCACCACTATCCCCACCACCACTATCCCCTCCCAACTTTGTGTGCTTTGTGTTCTTCAGCCTACTCAATCTCCTTAATGCTGTCAGTGTGTATGGAGTTAGGGCCTCTCGTGTCTGGTATCTCTGAAGAAAACTGAACTTGCTCCAGGAGTCATCAGTTGCTAATAGATCTTCAGCTAGGGGCAGGACTTCATGACCACCTTCTTCCCTGTCCATGCTAGAGTTTTGTGTGGCTTGAGTTTGCCTCTGTGAGTTCCTATGTGCAGTTGTCCTGCTGCATCCTGGAAGCTGTTTTGTTGTAGTCGTCCACCACCTCCGGCCCTTTCCATCTTCCCACTCCCTCTTCTGCAATGACCCCTAAGTTTTAGGAGGGAGAGGTTATGCATACACCATCTGGGATGGAGTACTCTGTAATCCCTTATGTTTACAGGTGATGGAATGTAATTACAAATTGCTGTTGGGGTCATGTGGCTATTGTGAGGAAAGTCAGGCTGGAGCCTCACCCTACCACACTCACCATGCTGCCGGGAAGCGAGTGGACAACTGACTGAACCACCTCAGTTGTCCTTTACGTGGACGGTCATTGAAATAGCCCTGTCCCTCATTACTTCCCCCTTTCCTTTGGCCTATGATTAATAGGTTGGCACTGCAACATGCCCTTTCTAGGCCTGTTGACGTCATTCTCGACAGCGAGCTCTCTGCCTGGGCATCTCCTTTAGAAGAGAAATTCCTGTTTGGCATGTGCTCGGATGCTTCTGTGCTGAGTCTCCCCAGATATTGTTTAGTCAACTGAAGCCTTAACTCTAAAGGTCATAGGTTGGAAACTGGCCAAGTTCTCAAGAAAGAGGAGAAAATGTTTTCTCTATGAGGTTATCCAGACTGAGCTGTGGAACTCACTACTCCCAGGTTCCCATAGGAACAGAGAGGCACAGTCAGCCATTTAAACCTTAAATGTCCACAGTGAGAGAGAAACCCAAGGGGCTTCTCAGCTTCAGTTCTCACAGGTGTCTTCCCATCTGTGGTCTGGCTGGGAATGATTACAGGTTGGTTTGGTGTTCACACTCAGGCTGAGGCAGGAAGATAGCATATTTGCATTGAGCTATCCAGTAAGGCTTTGTCTCAAAAAAAGAAAAGGAAAAATAAATGCAGAAGAGGCAGAGGGGAGGATAAGGTTGAAAGTAAGTGCTGGCCCTTCTCTCTGTTGGAATTACTACCCTGCCTGACTACCTCATCCTGAGAGACCCCTAGTTCCCAGCCGTCTGTGTGTCCTATTTGTAGTGAGGGTGTGCCACAGCTCTGCCCTAGGATTTTCTGGGGCCTGACAATTGCTATTTAACGAAATGTCACTTTGCTGCTTGTTGCTTCAGCAAGGTCAGGTCATTGACTCCAGGAGCATCACCTACCTGAAGTCTGATTTTCTGTGTCTACTCTCCTTTCTCCCTGTCCACATCCTTTACTGCCATGTTTTCAACTTGGAAAAGAGCCCTCTTTCTGAAAGCCAGCCTCTTCACACCCAGAACAGGTCCTCTGTTTGCCTGAATGCCCACACTTAGCAAAAGAAGGAGTTTGTTTTATGGCTAAAGGGGGGGGTAGATTCTTTTTCCCTCAAATCTCTAAATTATGATATATCTACTGTATGCTGTTCCTGGTAAGCACTATGGGGAGCGTAAAGATAAAGAAAGGCCACACAATTCTCCCTAGGAATTGTTGGCCCAGGATGGGGGAGAAATAAAGATAAAAGGGTTCCCAAGACATGGAGACAAAAAAAGGATTTTTCTGATTTGGGATAATCTCAATAGATATCACTGTTTAAACCACCTTTTCAGCCTTTAAAGTTTAAATGCTGAAGATATGAATCCAGCCCCAGGGACCCATACGGCAGAGTGAAAGAACCAACTCCTGCACTAAAATTGTCTTCTGACCTTGATACTGTGGTTCACACCTACACACAAATAAATAAATGTGTGTAGAGGGGACAAGTGTGTTGTTGTTGTTGGATTGAAAAGTATTAGTTCACCACTTGGTCCGTGCCAGACATTGTGCTGATGAAGAAATGCTCAGAAATAGGACAGTGTATGACTGTTGAGAAAATGATCTCGAGGGGCAGAGGGTAAGCAGAGAGCTAGAGTATCTATCGGTCTAGAGCACTAGAGAGCCCCAGGGGATCCTGGCAGCCACATTGCAGAGTCTACAAACCCCACTTAACAGTTGAGGACCTTTATCTAGGTACAGTGATGATGGGTTCAGTCAATGGTCAAATTCAAAGGACTTACACAGAGAAGAGGACTTGGAGCTGCTACTTCAGCATGTCCTGGGCACTCTGCTCAGACATTTACTTTCCATAAGAACTGAGTTTTATCCTTTCTGCAGCAGCTTGAGAAAACTGTATATCAAGAAAGCTGCTCAGATCTCAAGGAGGCACACCTGACCACATTTAATAAGTAACGGGGTCTCCCTCCCTTTCTCAGAGTTGTCATTTATTAAGAGATAATTGTAATATAGATTTAAGCACAATTGCTAAAATACAGAGCGGGCACTTGAAAATGACTACACACTTATGATGCAGGCTTCCCAAATAAATCTAGCAAGTTTGGTCCCCCCCCCATTGGTTTGCTTTTAAAAGAAGAATTTGTGCTGGGTGTTGGTGGTGCACGCCTTTAATCCCAGCACTCGGGAGGCAGAGGCAGGCGGATCTCTGTGAGTTCGAGGCCAGCCTGGTCTACAAAGTGAGTTCCAGGACAGCCTCCAAAGCTACAGAGAAACCCTGTCTCGAAAAACCAAAAAAAAAAAAAAAGAAGAAATGGACAGTTTTATAGATGATTGAAATGGTTCTGGACCAGGATAATATGGAGTCAGTAATTCTGATATCCAGCTAAAGCATTTTGATCTTAAAGCTTTCTGGCTGTGGGATTCGGCCAACACATTAAAGAGAAAGCAGCCTGGCGATTAGTGCTTGGCTGTAGCTTATTTCATTTTATCACACTCATATCTGTGGTTGAGAAGTAGAGGCTCTCCAGGGTGAAGGCGTCTGCTTAGGACTGTGGGAAATGGTGGGACTTGGACTCCTGCTGCTCTCAAGTACACTGACTTCTAGGAGGGCGTTTGTTTCCCTCTGAATCTTAGGACTACATTAGGGCCCATCTAATCCACTGTTTAGATGAAGGAGCCAAGCCTCACCCAGGATTACCAGTTAGCTAGGAGCCAAGCCTAGGAGCCCACTCTCCAAGTCTCCTGCCTTTTGATCTAGTCGTATTCCATTGCCCTAAGCTCTAGAGCTACACAGTTCAGCTCAACTTGACACATTCTAGAGTCCAAATAAAACTGACTTTTAATGTTGTAATTTTCATTCCTGAAAAGATAGGATTTTTTAAAAAATGGCTTGTCAAGGGGCTTGAGAGACAGCTTAATAGTTGAGAACACTGACTATTCTTGCAGAGGACCTGGGTTCAATTTCCAGCACCCACATGATGCTCCCTAATTGTCTATAACTCCAGCTTCAGGGGATCCAACTACCTTTTCTAGCCTCCAAGGAAGACAAAGCACCTATGTACATAAAATAAAATTTTAATTTTAAAAGTGGCTTGTGAAGTAGTTAGGCCCTTCCTGTTTGATAATTTATGAAGGATAAGTAGAGCTGTTGTCATATAGGGAAGATGGCAAATAACTTTTTGGTTTTGGTTTTTTGGGGGGGTTGTTGATGTGTTTTGTTTTTTGGGGGTTTTTTTGGTTTTTTTTTTTTTTTTTTTTTTTTGGTTTTTCAAGGCAGGGTTTCTCTGGGTAGCCTTGGCTGTCCTAGAACTCACAGAGATCCGCCTGCCTCTACCTCCACAGTGCTGGGATTAAAGGTGTGGTACTTTCAAACTGGAAAATGAAGCACTTGGCTCAGAATTAAAAATGAGACCCAGAAGGCATCATAGGGCTCCAGGGACAGTCTATCTAGCTTCTTCCCAAAGCTGAGAAAATTGCCTGTGAAACAAACAAGAGCCTCCCTGGTTAAGAAAACCCAGTTTCCTGGGTAACCAATGCCTGCATGTCTAAGAGGGAAGGGTGGTGTAGGCAGTTGTCTATTCTTACCAAGTTCCTATGAGTAATTTTCATTGGTTAAAAATAGTATATTGCAGCACCAGGCAGTGGTGGTACACACCTTTAATTCCAGCTCTTGGGAGGCAGAGGCAGGCGGATCTCTGTGAGTTCGAAGCCAGTGTAGCCTACAGAGTGAGTTCCAGGACAGCCAGGGCTACACAGAGGAAACCCTGTCTCAAAAAAATATAGATAGCTGTTTAGGAAAAGTGGAATGATAAGTTGAAATCTTTTAGTTGTGTGTGTGTGTGTGTGTGTGTGTTGCTTTTTAGACAAGAACTTACAATGAAGCCCTGACAGGCCTGGAACTTAATTGTGTAGATCAGACTGGCCTTGAACTCACAGAGATCTGTCTGCCTCTGCCTCCCAAGTGCACCGCCATGCCTGGCAAGGCATATTTTCACATGTACTACCTAACAAATATTCAAGTCATCTTCTACCCCTCCTGTTAGATTAAGGTTATAATTTCCAATGTACTGACAGAAAACATAAGAGGAAAGAGACAATATGGGGGTGTCATCCCCCTATAGATGTCCTTATGTCTCTGAATACAGTCTAAGTCTATGCTCTAAACGGTGTTTACCTGCTTCTAAAAGCCTCACTTTAGATACACATTGTATAAGAGCCAATTTACTGAAGAAGTTCTGTTTTGTATAGGCGTTGGTGGCTGTTTGTTTTGTTTTGTGTTTACATAAGTTCTGGCTGTGTGGCCCAGGTGGTAAGTTCTTGTGATCCTCCTGTCTCGGTCTCCCAAGTGCAAATCCAGGAGTGTGCCACTGTACCTGGAAAGAAAATAGTTTTAAAATTGCTCGGTGACTTTAATATGAAGACATCTGGGAGAAGCTCTTCTTTAGTGGTCTTTAACACTTCCCATTCAATCCTGGTTGCTTTTGTGTTTCATCTTCTGTGTAGATCTGGAGCCCATACAAGCAGCCAGGATGTACAGGAGACCTGGACGGTCGGATTGAAGATGATTCCCGCTGCCTCTACACCCATGAAGAGTATATCAGCCTTGTACTGAACAGTGGGAGTGGCCTGTCCCACGACTACGCTAACCAGTCCGTCCAGGAAGATCCCCGGATGATGGCTTTCTTTGACTCTTTGGTGCGTCGTGAGATTGAGGGCTGGAGCTCTGACTCAGACAGTGATCTCAGCGAGAGCACCATCCTTCAGTTGCATGCGGGGGTCAGTGAGCGCTCTGGCTACACTGACTCAGAATCGTCAGCCTCACTGCCTCGCTCCCCACCTCCCACAGTGGACGAGTCTGCCGACAATGCCTTCCATCTGGGGCCACTGCGTGTCACCACCACAAATGCGGTGGTGTCAAACCCAGCAACACCGACCTGTGAGGATGCAGCCTCTCGCCAGCAGCGCCTGTCTGCTCTGCGGCGCTACCAGGACAAGCGCCTCCTGGCCCTGTCTAATGAGTCTGATTCTGAAGAGAATGCCTGTGAGGCTGAACTGGACACAGATCTCTTCCCTCGGCCAAGGTCACCCAGCCCCGAGGATGGATCCAGCAGTTCCAGCAGCTCTAGTAGCTCGGAAGAGGAAGAGGAATTGAACCAACGCCGAGCCAACACCCGGCAGCGAAATGCCATGCGGAGGCGACAGAAGACCCCCCGGGAAGAGCGGCCCAACGCTCCAGTTAAGCCCACCAACACCTACATTGGAGAGGACAATTACGACTACCCCCAGATCAAGGTGGATGACCTTTCCTCCTCCCCTAACTCCTCCCCTGAGCGGAGTGCTTCCAATCTGGATATCCAACCAAGCCGGGCACCACCAACTGCCAACATGGAATCAGTAGAGCGAAAGATTTATAAAGCTTACAAATGGCTCCGCTACTCCTATATCTCTTACTCGAACAACAAAGATGGAGAAACCTCTTTAGTGGCAGAGGAGGCAGATGAAGGGAGGGCAGGAACCAGCCCCAAAGATAACCCAACCCCTTCTTCCAGTAAGGAAGCCTGCCCAACCCAGAGAGACCAGGAGCTGTCCCCTGAAGGCTGCAGCAGAGATACTTGCAAAGAAGAGCCTTCCACCAGGAATCCCAGCAGCAGCGCAGGCCATGAGCACAGTAGCCATCTCTGGGCAGAGGTGCCAGAGGGCACCTCTCAGGACACTAGCAATAGCGGCCCTCTAGAACACCCTTTTGAAACCAAGAAGCTCAATGGGAAGGCCCTGAGCAAGGCCCTGAGCAGCCGGGCTGAGGAGCCGCCCTCTCCTGTCCCCAAGGCATCGGGCTCCACTCTCAACAGTGCGTCTGGCAACTGTCCCAGGACCCAGTCTGATGACAGTGAGGAGAGGAGCCTTGAAACCCTCTGTGCCAACCACAACAATGGACACTTGCACCCCCGACCCCCTCACCCTCACAATAACGGGCAGAACTCTGGGGAGCTGGAGACAGTGGTCCACCCAGACACTGTCCATGATAACCCATCCCTGACAGGGACATTTCTGCACAAAGATTGTTGTGGGTCTGAAATGGCCTATGAGGACCCCAGTACTGGAACAAAAGAAGACCCCACTGACCCCTCAGCCATGGACAGCAGCAAGGTTGTTCATGGCCACAGTGGCCTCAAAAGGCACCGAATTGAATTGGAAGACACAGATTCAGAGACCTCCTCCTCAGAGAAGAAATTAAAAACATGATAAATACAAAGGGAAGGCAAAAAGCTACAAAAAGTAGCCTTACAAAATAATTTTTTCTTGTTTAATGAACACAGAGGAAAGGAAAAAGTATTAAAGGCACATAAAACCAGAGCCTGAACCGTGTCTGCTGCTGCTCCTTCCGCCCACCACTCTCCAGTGGGTTGGAGTGTCCAGCTAGCACTGCCTCGTGCTCCGCTGAGAAGGGGGGAGACTCCTAATGGCTCCTCGCCAGTGAGATGGGAGCATAGCATTCCTGTGCAGGCTCTGTGATATTGATCCTGTCTTGCGACGTTTGGCTTGTTGTGTGTATGTACCTGCTGGCACATGTGGGCTCGTTGTCTTATGAGGCCTTTCTTTTAACTGTCCATCAGCGAAGCCGTCTCACCTGTCGATTGTTCACATGACATAGCTGGTCTGGTCTTAATGAGATTGTGTTGCAGTGAGCTGTAGATTTATACTAGCGGAAAGGAAAGGCCTGCCTTCAGCTCATTGGCTGTGCTGGAAAGGAAAACATGGCTCCTTTTTCAGTGCTCCATGTTTTCTCCAGCTAACACATGGTCGAGCACTTACTGTGACCCTAAGTGAAACATCGTTCCTGCTAAGAAGAAGTTGACACTTAGCTCAGATCCTGATAGTGTCACTGTTTGCATAAGGGGTGGAGCTGCCCTCTGTGCTGTGAGGTCCATTCAGTAACTAGTGAGCAACACTCTTTAACCACTTACATGCTGGCTCCTAAGAGGCACTCAAGGCCAGCAGGTGCTTCCTTGGCTCCAAGTAACGGAGTCTCGGCATACTGAAAGAAGAAAGGACCGCTCAGGAGAGTGTTTTACCCAAATTAATAAAATGGCTGGTAGAAGGATGCTAATGAGTTGTAGTAAAGAGCAGAATGAGGTACTGTATCCAGTGAGTCCCATCAGTCAGAATGAGACTGTATCCAGTGAGTCCATCAGTCAGAATGAGGTACTGTATCCAGTGAGTCCATCAGTCAGAATGAGGTACTGTATCCAGTGAGTCCCATCAGTCAGAATGAGGTACTGTATCCAGTGAGTCCGTCAGTCAGAATGAGATACTGTATCCAGTGAGTCCTTCAGTCAGAATGAGATACTGTATCCAGTGAGTCTATCAGTCAGAATGAGGTACTGTATCCAGTGAGTCCATCAGTCAGAATGAGGTACTGTATCCAGTGAGTCCATCAGTCAGAATGAGGTACTGTATCCAGTGAGTCCATCAGTCAGAATGAGATACTGTATCCAGTGAGTCCATCAGTCAGAATGAGATACTGTATCCAGTGAGTCCATCAGTCAGAATGAGGTACTGTATCCAGTGAGTCCATAAGTCAGAATGAGATACTGTATCCAGTGAGTCCATAAGTCAGAATGAGATACTGTATCCAGTGAGTCCATCAGTCAGAATGAGGTACTGTATCCAGTGAGTCCATCAGTCAGAATGAGATACTGTATCCAGTGAGTCCATCAGTCAGAATGAGGTACTGTATCCAGTGAGTCCATAAGTCAGAATGAGATACTGTATCCAGTGAGTCCATAAGTCAGAATGAGATACTGTATCCAGTGAGTCCATCAGTCAGAATGAGGTACTGTATCCAGTGAGTCCATCAGTCAGAATGAGGTACTGTATCCAGTGAGTCCATAAGTCAGAATGAGGTACTGTATCCAGTGAGTCCGTCAGTCAGAATGAGGTACTGTATCCAGTGAGTCCGTCAGTCAGAATGAGGTACTGTATCCAGTGAGTTCATCAGTCAGAATGAGATACTGTATCCAGTGAGTCCATAAGTCAGAATGAGATACTGTATCCAGTGAGTCCATAAGTCAGAATGAGATACTGTATCCAGTGAGTCCGTCAGTCAGAATGAGGTACTGTATCCAGTGAGTCCATCAGTCAGAATGAGATACTGTATCCAGTGAGTCCGTCAGTCAGAATGAGGTACTGTATCCAGTGAGTCCATCAGTCAGAATGAGGTACTGTATCCAGTGCCAGTCCATTCAGCTGAATTGACAAGCCTGGCACCTTCACTCAGGCTTGGAGTTGTCAGAGACTGTGGGGTTCCACCTGAACTTTGCAGAGTAGTGGGCATCTGTTAGGAGGCAGGGCATATCGAAAGACAAGTCTTTGATTTGTCTCCTGGCTCCCAGAAGACATTCTGTTCTGTTGAAGTAGGTAACAACGGAGAGAAGAAAATACCAAATTTCCAGTGTATAGTGGTGATGGTAGTTCCTGAGTTGTCACTAAAGGCTTGTGTAAGACGGGAAGACCTAAGGATGCCCAGATGTCTGTGGTGTAGATGTTAAAGCAGGAGGAAGAGTGGAACGTTGGATGCAGATGAACTAGACAGCTGAAGCCTGGCTGGAACTGGCCTAGAGAGACTTAGCACAAGGCAACTGGGGCTTCACTGAGGAGCGTTCCTTTCAGAGGAGGACTTGTCCTGCTGGGATGGAGCTGAGAGAAGACCACCTGTGGAAGCTGAAGAATGGATGATGTTCAGTGCTGGGAGCCAGGGTTCTTATAAAAGGAAGGTGATTGGTAAGAGCCAGGAGGATATATCATCTTGCTGAGCTTTTTGGAAGGGAGATGTGCTTAGTGTCTGGTGACATGGCTGAGGTGTGAAAGCACAGTTTGGGAGGGAGAGGAAGGCGCCTGAGGAGAGTGGGGATGCATACAGTCAGCGGCTCGACTCCTCCTGGGGAGTGGGACAGTTCTGTAACCAACCTTAGAATTACTTTAGATTTGTAATTAAAATGGTTCTATGATTTATCTTTTGACTATTCACAGATAATTGTAAATTCTGGTTTTATAAGCCCAAGTCATTTTACATTTGCTTTTCCAAAATGATTAAATTGGAATTTTTAATCCTTTATGTACAAAAAAGTTACAAACACTCAGTGTGTGTGTCTCTTCCCCTTAGTCAGCATACCTGGTTCTTCTATTCCATGTTATCTTAATCTAATCAGATAGATTCACATTCCACATATCTTCCTGGAGGCAAAAGAAAGCAAAATTAGCTATTGATAATTAGTTTCCAACTGCCAAGTGTGGTCCCTCATGTAAAAACTGTCTGTCTTATTTGGGTACTCAAAAACATTCAAAAGTCGAAGTACACTTAGTCCATAACTGTAGATGCTGAGAGAGGTCATCCTTTGAGGGATCATTCCATGCTGGGGAGAGACTTCCAAGAGATGGTCCCTGAAATAACCACCAGAGCAAGAGGAAAAGGATGCTGCTTTTAACCACTCTACACTCCTTCCCAGAGGTCTTGTGTTGTGTGGTCCTGGTACTGGAACCCTGATGTGAACCACATCAAAGATCCCTTTGCCTGGACCATTGTAGATTCCAGGTCTCCCATGTTGAAGACATATTTAATTCCCAAATCCTTCCATGATGGGTGTTTTCCCTAGCAGGAGAGGACACTGATCAGGCTGAGAACTCCTGGAAGTGCCTCTTAAGGATTTTTTTCTGCATCCTGTACATAATGTTTTAAGCAGCAGGTCCAGGTCTGTGAACCTGTTTCTCTTCCCCTTATTTCTCACCTGGTTTTGTAAATGATTCTCAACTGATAAATGAGTTCATTGAGTTGTTGGTTTGAGGCAAAAGAAGTTTGCAACTGTGCTGATTTAATAGGAGTCTCGTGTTGTCTGTCAAGGTGCCTTCCTCTGCTGAAGCCTTACCTCCTCACAGCCCTGCCTCTTCTCCCCCAGCAACGCTGACTCTTCTCTGTGTATATGCAAATAAACCTATTAATCACTTCTCCCGATTCCTCCTCTCTTCCTGGGAAGACTTGGTTGCTTAGACACCCTCTTCCTTCATTTCTTTGCTGTTTTAATGCCTGCCTGGTTGGAAATTTAATTTAGAGCCACACTTAAGACTAAAAGACAAATCCCATGTCTACCAGTGATCATATCACTTCTAGGTATTGGGACAACGGAGGTCGCATCTGACAACAAAAGGAAGGGAGGTGCTGTGTCCACTTGGTCTCCGTCTCCAGGCTTACAGGGACTCAGATAATGAACTCCTGGACCTGACTTTTTTTTTCCCGAGACAGGGTTTCTCCGTGACTTTGGAGGCTGTCCTGGAACTAGCTCTTGTAGGCCAAGCTGGTCTCAAACTCACAGAGATCCACCTGCCTTTGCCTCCTGAGTGCTGGGATTAAAAGCATACGCCACCACCTCCCAGCCTGAACCTGATGGTTTTATTAGTTGTAATTTCACATTGTAGTGAAGAAGCACGGCCACCCCCTCCCCCAGTGGATGTTTGCTGATGCTTCCAGATACCATGATGCTCTTCATGACATCTTAGATACATTGCACATGTTTCTCTTTAAAAAGAGAACAGAGTGGAAAATAGCAAAACTTGTCATTGTATAAAGCTGTTGGACATAGGAGGAGGCTGTGTTTAACTAATACATTAATACCAATCAAGATGCTTGTCAGGAGAACACTCAAGGAAGCCTGTTCTCCCCTACAATCCATACAACGTAGTACATGAGGAGGATCACTAAAGTGCAGTCACAAGTCCTGGGCTTGTCCCCAATGGCAGGATAATGGCTTTGGTTTAATGGGGGACGGGAGTAAGCTTGAGTGTTTAATTTTATTGTATTAGGATTTAAAAAATGGCCAGGTGGTGGTGGTGCACGTTTTTAATCCCAGCACTGGGGAGGCAGAACCAGGTGGGTTTCAGTGAGCCCAGGACAGCCAGAACTGTTACACAGAGAAACCCTGTCTTAAAAAAGAAAAAAAAGAAAGAAAAAAATTAGTCTCGAAGTAAAGCCCAGGCTAGTCTCAAACTGACAGGCCTCCTGCCTCAGCCTCCTGAGTGCTAAGTTTCCAAATGTAAGCCACCATTTCCTGTTTTGTTTTGTTTTGTTTTGTTTGTTTTTTGTTTTTGTTTTGTTTGGTTGGTTGGGTTTTTGGTTTTGGTTTTTTTTTTTTTTTTTTTTGGTTTTTGTTTTTGTTTTTTTTTTTTGGTTTTTTGAGACAGGGTTTCTCTGTATTGTTTTGGAGCCTGACCTGGAACTCACTCGCTAGACCAGGCTGGTCTCAAACTCACAGTGATCCACCTGTCTCTGCCTCCCAAGTGCTGGGATTAAAGGTGTGCGCCACCAACGCCCGGCTCATTTCCTGTTTTTAGGACAAGGTTTCACTAGCTAGCCTATGCTGCTTAGAGTGCTGGGATTGTAGATGGTCTCACACACACACACACACACACACACACACACACACACACACACACACACACACACACCATCATGTGGTCTTCGGCAAGCTGTGTGGCTCTCTAGTGGGTTATTCCAGTCAGAGTATTTATTTGTCCTTGAGCATTCATACTAGAATGAAATAACATGAGTTTGAATCAACAGTAACTTTCAGAGTCTTCAAAGATCCACTGCTTCTGACAATATAATGAGAATCTGACTCATCTGGACTCTAGCTATATTTCATTGCTAGTAGGTAAGATGCTTCTTGGGATGGAAACTGAGACAAAGATGACTGGGAAATAGGCCTATGCAGGAGGAGTCAGTCCCCTCAGTGTGTTGAGGGGTCCTGTGGAGCTTATCCTACTGTGAACGATAGGTTATCTAGTGTTTGAAATGACTCCTTTCGGAGCTCATGGGCTATTCTAGCAGAACTTTATCTGCCTGTCACTACTCCACCAATGCTAGCTAGCTAGGGAGACACACACTAAGATACCTAGGTGCCCACAAGAGTACTTGGACAGGAGAAAAGTTGTGTTGTTTGGAAAGTTGAAAGGGAATAAGACATCTGGGGTTTTAGAAGACTTTGAAAGACTCTGCAGTGGAAGAGACAGAATGTTAGCAGGGCCAGCAGCTTCCTGGATCCATATAACTAGCATTCAACATGCTAACTAGGGGAGGAGGCCCCGTGGTATAGTACTTGCCTGTTATGCCTCAGGCCCTGAGCTTGATATCCAGGGCTGAAAAACAGAACAAACACCAGCCAAAACCCTCAGGTACAAACCCAAATTCATCTTTGAAGTCAATAGAAATGTAGAGAAATTATTCTAGAATCAATTAAAAAAGAAAAAAAGGGGGAGAATATGATAACCAGAACACCAGCATAGTTAAACATGGTGAGTGTGGTAGTGATTGGCAGGATTTCACACAGTAACATACTTCTATTTGATTGTTCCAGACTGGTTAGTGACTACTGAAGGTTTGAACCTACCTTTTATTCACTTTACCCTTATTAAGATTTATTTTTATTATTTTAGTTACATATGTGGGTGTGTGAGCATGTGCATGTAATTGCAGATGCCCACCAAGGCCAAAGGCATTGTATCCCTTAGAAGCTGAATTTACATGTGATTGTGAGCCACCTACTTGTAGGTGCTAGAAGCCAAGCTTGGGTCCTCTGCCAGAGTAGTAGTCACTCTCAAGTGCCTGAGCCATCTCTCTAGCCCCCACCTTATCCTCTCGGTGTCTCAGAGTCAGTGTATCCCAACATTTCTAGATGCTCCAAGACCCCCACCTTAAATAATCCCAGCTAAGTTCCTTTCTTCCTAAGAGACCTGTGAGTGGAAAATAGCACTGAGCTCACACAAGAAGTACATCCTACATTGGTTCTGAGTGAAAGCATGAGTTGAGCAACTACCCCATACTCCTGGTAACTGTCAGGTCCCTCAACTCTCAAATGTGGCTCTTCCTGTTCCAGAACCTTGGTTCAGATGGCTTTCTAGATTCTACTCAAACATTATCATTTTTGAGACATTTCTATAGTGCCCACCTGAGCTGGTTGGTGAACCAAGATCTTTGGCAAATATACAACTGCTCAAAGCCTCAAGCTCCTCAGTGTGTGTGTGTGTGTGTGTGTGTGTGTGAGAGAGAGAGAGAGAGAGAGAGACAGACAGACAGACCGACAGAGGATCTACATATGTGTATATAAAAGAGTGTGATGTATAATGCACATATTTGAGAATGGCACGATATAGAGAGAACACAAGTACTCATTGTCATGGACACATCTCTTTTTGTTGTGCTTGTTAATGTGACATCCATGCGCACACCACTAGAAGGCTTTCTGGATAGCGGTCCACCAAGGAATATGGGTAGTCAACATCCTTCAGAGAAAGAATGGCTGTTTATCAGCAGTCTCAGAAACCACAGTGAAAGAGATTGTCCCCATTCCTGGGGACCTGATGGAGCATGCTTTGGAGCCTTTGGCATGACCTCTGAGACCTCTATCTGGGGAGCAAGCCCTAAGGGCTGGAAACTTAAGGCATGGCTGACAGAGACCTCAGATCCTTGCTCCTGGCAAGCTTGCAAAGGTTGGAATAAGGAATGGCAAATTTTATTAAGCTAAAATCTTAATATGGTAATACTGGAGAAGGCCTGGGCCTTAAGAGTTGGAACATCAATGTTCTCTGAGCTTTTGAGGTCAAGTTCTTGGACCTGGTACAAGGCCAACCCTAAGAGAACCTGGAAAGGGACAAGTCATGAAAGAGTGCTGCATGTGTCAGAGAAGACAACCAGTTTTCCATGCAGGGTTGAGAGAGAGAGAGAGAGAGAGAGAGAGTAAAATCTCAGTATTTCAAGAAGCTAAACTATAAAAACCAACAAAGAAGTCTGATTAGACTGAGGAAGAAAAGGTGAAGTTCACTGCCTGCCTCCGAAATAAAGGATCCAGAATAGCAATGGGGGGGAAGAAGGGGGCATGACGGTGGTTTTTGGAGGGTGAAGAGAAGTATGGGAGAGGTTTTGCATTGCTGGTGGAAAGAGGCAATGGGATTACAGTAAATTACACTTTACTTGAAACTTAAATGGTTTCGAGTAAAGCACACCTGCCTGAAGAGAGGCCAGAACACGGGGTACCATGGGGCAGACAAGGCATAGAGGAGTCAGAACCTGGAGAAGCATTTTTGGGCTGACTACAGAAGAAGGGAAAGGGCCCTCCCTCATCAGCTGCTTCTATTCCATTATAAAGGTGGAAAATCAAATTCCTAGTTGGTGGTGACCACTAAGGCTTATGCTTGCTTCCTGGGTATATTCCTGGGTCCTTCCTGCTCGAAGTTCCATATGGCCTCACTCTTACCAAGTGACTGGGGCTTATTCACAATACACAGCAATAGTAAGGGGTTGCGAATGGTCACATGGAGGCAGGTTGACTAGGGTGGAGCATATGGCAAAAGAAAAGAGTGGATTGTGTTTGGACCATCCTCCCCCTACATCCAAGAGTTTGTGATTCTGACCGCATTTGCAACTGTTTTGACTGTGAAAAGCCATCAACATGCTAGGGAACTGGGGAAAAGGACAAAAGGAACTAGAGAGTAGGAGCCTGATTGCTTATGTCTAAAGCACACATGGGCTTAAGACCAAGAAAATGCACTTCAAGAAAGGACTTGATAGCTGTGTGTGGTGATGCATGGCTTTAGGCCCAGCACTTGGGAGACAGAGGCAGATTTCTGGTCTTGCCTATACATCAAGTTCCAGGACAGCCAGGCCTAAATATAACGACTGACCTGTCTTAAAAAAAAAAAAATAAGAAAGAAAGGTCCTGATGAGGGATCATTTCAAATGCAAACCTTGCAGTTACAAGACCAACCATTACTACCTTCTGGAATGTTGGGTCTTCTCCTTAAACTAACTGGAATATGCAGTTTGCAGCTCATGTCTCTCTATGGTTTGGGGTGGGTTTGTTTTGTGGTACAAAGGGTTGAGCCCACTCAGGGAGGTAGGTCAGCACAGAAGGTGAACAACTGGTCTCAACTCTACCAGACTCGATTTTCTGTGGGAG